TTGCTCATTCTGTATTCTCCTGCACCCAGGATGTGCCTGGCTCCCACGCCTGCTCGATTGCTAAATGGGGACCGATGGTGTGGCACAATGAGTTAAGCTGCCCCCTGCAGTGCTGGCATCTCATGGACACTGGTTGGCGTCCTGGCTCCTCCACTTCCTATCTAGCTCTCTGCTAAAGCAGCAGAAGATGGCCCAAGGACTTGGGCTCTTGCACCCACATGGAAGACCTGGAAGAAGCTCCCAAGTCTGGCATGGTCCAACCCTGGCTGTTGTAGCCATTTGGGAAGTAAACCAATAGACAGAAGAATCTCTTTGTTTCTCTCACTCTGCTGTTCAAACAAATAAAACAAAATCTCTTTTTAAAAGTACAGAACTGGGCCTGGGGTGATGACTCAGTGGCTAAATCCTCACCTTGCAAGCACCAGGATCCCATGTGGGCGCTGGTTTGTGTCCCAGCTGCTCCACTTCCCATTCCAGCTCCCTGTTTGTGCCCTGGGAAAAAAGAGGATGCCCCAAAGCCTTGGGACCCTGCACCTATGTGGGAGACCTGGAAGAAGCTCCTGGCTCCTGGTTTCAAGTCGTTTCAGTTCCAGCCTTTGTGGCCATTTGGGGAGTGAACTGGTGGATGGAAGATCTTTCTCTCTGTCTCTCCTTCTATTTGTAGGTTTGCGTTTCCAAGAAATATAAATAAATATTAAAAAATGTATATATAGGGCCTGGCACAATGGTGGAATGGTTAAGGTCCTCGCCTTGCACGCCCGGGATTCCATATGGGTGCTGGTTCTAATCCCGGCGGCCCTGCTTCCCATCCAGCTCCCTAACTGTGGCCTGGGAAAGTGGTCGAGAACGGGACCCTGTACCCGTGTGGGATACCCGGAAGAGGCTCCTGGCTTAGGACCGGCATAGCATTGGCCATTGCGCTCACTTGGGGAGTGAATCATCAGATGGAAGATCTTCCTCTCTGTCTCTCCTCTCTGTATATCTGCCTTTCCAATAAAAATAAAATAAATCTTTAAAAAAATGTATATATATACAAAATATGTATATTTATACACATACAGACACAGTCACCAAGAATTTTGTCAAACATTCATGGAAAACAGAATTAAAAGATAAGTGTTTTGATTTAAAAAGTTCTGGAATAGGACCCAGTGTGGTGGCCTAGTGGCTTGCCTTCAATGTGCCAGGATCCCATATGGGCGCCGGTTCTAATCCTGGAGGCCCTGCTTCCCATCAGCTCCCTGCTTGTGGCCTGGAAAGGCAGTCGAAGACAGCCCAAAGCCTTGGGACCCTGCACCTGCGTGGGAGACCTGGAAGAATTCCCAGGCTCCTGGTTTCGGATTGGCACAGAGGGATTGGGGAGTGAATCATCGGACAGAAGATCTTCCTCTCTGTATATATCTGACTTTGCAATAAAAATAAATAAATCTTTAGGAAAATTCTGGAATTTATATACAGTGTTTCATGCTACGTACTTTTTTCTCAAGATTTATTTTATTTTGACTGGAAAGGTACATCAGATTTACAGAGAAGAGATACAGAAGGCCTGGTGCAGGATATCATATAGGTGCTGGTTTATGTCCTGGCTGTCCCATTTCCCATCCAGCTCCCTGCTAGCGGCCTGGGAAAGCAGTAGAAGATGGCCCAAAGCCCTGGGATTTTGTACCTGCATGGGAGACCCAGAAGAGGCTCCTGGCTCCTGGTTTTGAATCAGCTCAGCTCCAGTCATTGCAAACATTTGGGGAGTGAACCAGCAGATGAAGATCTTTCTGTTTTTCCTTCTGCAAAACTACCTTTCCAATAATAAATAAATAAATCTTTGGAAAAGAATATTCTTGTTGCATCATCAGCTTTTCTAGACTGCCCCCTCTTCTACTGCACCTGCGTACGGACGGCACCAGGGAAAGTTGGTGAAATTGAGCTGATGTCATCCACAGTTCTGTACGCTACTCACTGAATGAGGAACTAGCACCCTCTTGTTACCCAGCACTGCCTCCTCCCCCAGGTGGAGGTCACTCCCAAGGATCCAGCTACTCGCCACCTGCCATCCCCGATTGCTGTGGTCTGTCTTAGCAAAGCAGTGGCTTCTCACCCTACCCAACTGTTTCAGTGTTAAATGACTCCTTTCAACGTTACCCGCCTGCACCAGTCCTCAAGAAGAGGGCTGAGCCAGACCCAGGAATCAGCGTTTCACTATCCTGCCAGATGATTCTAATCCACAGTGAGGGCTGGGAAGCCCTAGGCAAGAGGACGAGATACCACTTGGCCACTACTCCAAGGTACACTGCAGCCACCGATTCCCCCACGTCCTGGACCTTCAGGGACTCGGCCTGGAGCAGTCCCACATCTGGGTGGCCGCTGCACAAGCCACAGCAGCAGCTGGTGGCCTTCTGGACTCCCTGAACTCATTAATCACCCTCCTGTCTGACTCTCATTTACACTCAGTGGCTGATTGGGCCAGGTCTGGGGTTTAGCAATGCTCAGGTCCAGAGGATGGGGGCAGTGGGAGGGAGCCTGGCTGGGCAGCTGCAGCTCCAACATCCCCTGGAACCTGACTACCCACAAGGATGCTGAGAGATCCTGTGCTCACGACAAGCAACCTTCATGTTGGCCCTAGCAACCCCACCTGCTACATTCACATCTGGGTCATCCCTTTCCCTGGAGTCGGGGCTGAATTCTGTGTTTCATTCTTTCATGGTGAAACTGGGGCAGAAGAGTGGGGTCAGGTTATGAAGACTGTGGCTCTGTCCTGGGTGCTCTCTGACATTCTCTGGGCTCTTACTCAGTTCCTGCACACGCGAGACACGTGCCAAGAACCACCACACAACGGAGCTCGAAAGCGGAGCCCTCCGGACTCGCAACGGAGGTGCAAGCTCATGGGAAACTCCAATCCAGAGGCACCCATCTCCGCTGTCCCTGGATTGCTCAGAATCCCAGAGATAACAACCATTTGCTACTGTAAACTGCTGCCTTGGGGTAACCTGCATGTAGCAGTTGATGCCTGGTGCACCCCCTTATCTGAGGTTCCTCCAGCGGTAGTTCTTCCTGCATCCCTTCTAGATCCCCTAGCAAGGGACAAATGTCAACTCTTGCCCCCAGGCCTTGACTCACGCAGATCCACCCTGCAGAAACCCTGGGTACCTACTCATCCTCTCCCCTGCCCCAGACTCAAGGCCAATGCCACCTCCCCGTGGAGTCTGACATCCCATGCCCACCACAGCCTGAACAGTTTCCGTTCCACAAGCTGGACACCTCACCACCTTCGTTGGCTCCAGGTCCATCTCCCCAGGAACCTGGGGGCCCAGAGCTGCATCATTCTCTGCACTATCTGATACTCAACATCAGGTCAGGGGTGGTTTGATGAGTGAATAACCGACCAATAATGAATGCCAGGTTTCCTGCTGGCTCACTCTGCCCCCCAGTGCCATTTTCCATGGCTGTGCATTTCCACACTCATGGACTTACAACCAAATTGGTTAGCTTCCCCAAGCAAGCAAATTCCCTGTTTCTTTCCCAGAATCATCAGCTTCCTGCAGGGGAAATTTCCTGCTCCTTCAAGCTCCTCTCTTTCCTCTCTTGTCAGTCTTCACATCCTGGATCACCAACCCCCAGCACTGTGGGCACAGCTCCAGGCACCCACCTCCCAACCATCCCCCCATGCTTCCAGGGATTCAGCAATGCTGCCAGAGCTGAAGGCAGAAGTCACAGGGAAGGTGGTAGTGAGACTCCCACACTCTCTGCCACTCTCAGTCTGGCATTAAAGGAACTCTAGGATGCAAGAGGAAGTCACACACTTTCCAGCTCACACTACCAGGCACCTGCAACAGGTGGGCTCTGCATACAACATCTTCTCATTTAGTCAGTATCTATCAAGGACTTCCTCTGTGCTGAAAATCATGCTAAATGCCTGCCACATGGCTGCTTACAGTCACCCAATCACAGTGGGTTTCACGCTTGGCCAGCATCACACAGCTTCTAACCAGCAAGGCTGCGATTTGAGCCTAGTTTCATCTAACTTCACAGCCTTCTCACCACCATGCAGTTCCTCCTACAAACTCCTCATGTTTACAAACCATGTTCACAATTCTTTGTCATAGCCACTGGTCCCAAAGTTAGCTTATGCCCAGGGTGAGAAGCCAGACCTTCCCTACTCTCTTTGGTGTGTTCTCTGGGCTTCATTGTTCTCGGGCTGCTATGACGACCAGATGAGTTAACTCACAAAATAAGTGCTCAGCATACAGTACAAGTGGCAGTCACAGAGGCCAGCTCATGGGAGAATAGCACATCCCCATTGCCTTGAATTGGCCATATGACTTGCTTGGACCATTGAGCTTGCAGGGATGGCATGCGTGGGCCACTGCAGATGGAAACTTTAGGGCCAGCGTGCCATCTCCCCACACTCCCTTGCCTTTTGTCCTGCCGACAGCAGCCTGCCAGCTTCGGGTTCCGAGAGGGGGAGGAGTCTCAACCTGAACCGTGAAGGGCAGGTAGCACGGGGTGAGACACAAGTTCTACCCGTCTGGTCACTTCCACATGGCTGGGCCTGTACTGACTGCGGAGTAAAAGCTCCATAAATGTTAAGTCATTCACACAGAAGGGTGATCTATTCTAGCTCATCTTCTTAAAAAGGAAACTCCACCAGTTGCCATCATAAATAACCATGAAATAACGAAATCGAAAAGTCTTTATCCTCACACCAACCCGAATCATCTGGTATTGCACCTGTCAAGTGCGTGGATGTGTGGATGCGCGCACGTGTGAATGTGTGCACAGGAAGTGCTCCCTGCATGCCTCCCTTGATCAAGCTGGGGGCTCTGGTGGAGGAGTGGATCTAGATACCCTAACCACAGGTGCCCCGTGGTCAGTCAGCTCCAGGCCTTGGCCCTTGCCCACCTGAGCCCTCAGCTGCCGTGCCCAAGTCTGTAGCCAGCAGCAACGTCTCCTCCCTACCCATCCACAGCATTAACGGAGCTATGTGCCCCACATTGGCCCTTCCTTACCTCGGCAAATGGTGCCGTTCTCCACAGCCTCGAAGCCCGCCTTGCACATACAGCGCCCGATGGGCACCAGCCACTCGCCATCCCCGTTACAGTACAGTTTGATGGGCACATCCACCTCCTCGGCATTGGCGATACAGCTGCCCCGGGCAGCTACCAGGGACGTGCTCTCAGCCCCTGACAGTGTCTCCTGGAAGATGGCGCCGTTCTGGATGACACGGGGGCACTTGCGGTAGAAGACCCGCACGGCGATGAGGGACATGCAGCCGCCATAGTCCTGGAAGGCCAGGTAGAAGCCGGTGCGAGACACGGGCCCGAAGCTCCGCACCTCGGTGTTGATTTTCATTACCCGGCCGCCCAGGTCCACCTGCGAGAAGCTCTCGTCGGCGGCAATGGTGTCCACCTTCACCCACGGATTCTCCATCCAGTTGGGGAAGGTCTTGGTGGCCGAGTCAAAGTCGGCCTCGTAGTAATAGAGGTTGAAGGTCTCCTTGCAGGAGCCGGGCACGCTGGGGATGCTGCTACAGTCGCGCACTGAGAACTTCATCTCCACGTGGATGCGGTGGGCGCCCCGGCGCCGGATAAACTTGGTCCGCAGCCAGTTGTTCTGGCTTGACTCAAATACATTGCACACCTGGTAGGTGCGAATCGTGTTCATGTTCTCGTCGTAGCCGCTCACCTCTTCCCACTGTGGGAGAAATGCTAGTCAGCTGGGGGAGGCAATGACTCAGCTCCAGCAAATGCCCTTAAAGGGGAGGCGCAGACTTAGACTTAGGAAATCCTCTGGTTTGATGGTGGAGAATGTTAGAGAAGTCCCAATCTGATGGGAGAGGCATGGCCTTGGCCTTGGGGCATTCCCCATCCCTAAGGGTGAATGCCAATCTAATGGAACAGCACACACCTTCCTGACTTTGATATTTCTCCTGGTCAGCGAGGGAGATGTGGCCCCCTCTGTCAGGAGTTCACGAACCTGATCAAGGAAAGAGATGTGGGGTCCTGATCCCTGGGATTTCCCATTCGACAGGGCCACAAGCGAGGGCCCTGCCTACAGGGAGTGTTTCTGATGGGAGCTGGCAGAGCTTTGGACATGGGGTTGGGTAGGGGGATGCCAGCACGGTGGGGAGACTGAACTTCTGTCCTTTAAGAGTGCCTTGTGTGAGCAGGGAGACGCAGCCCGTCCTTCCTGTGAGTTAGTACCCCACCCCCTTCCCTCAGGGGCAGCTCTGCTCGGGGGATCTCAGGCCAGACCTAGAAGGGTTGGGCTGGTTAGGAACCTCATAAGGTCTCAGGGGTTGGAGAACCTTGGGACTGAATCTTTGTTCCCACTGCAGCCCCTGGACTCTGCTGGCCTGGGGATACCCAGCCCTGCAGGGGATACTCCCTGCCCTTTCCCTCTCCTGGCCCCCTTGCCATCCCGATGCCTTCACCTAAGGCCTACTCCACCTCACCCTCCCCACACACACAATAGGTCCAGCTGGGCCCACTTATGGGCTGTAGTACACCTGGCCCCGATTAGGCAAACCTTTCTGAGTGCTCACCTGTGCTGCCTTGGGACAATTGTGTCCCGTTCTGGGAGCTCTGGGTTCTAATCCTGCCTCTGCTTATAATATGTGTGGCCTCAGGCAAGTCACTTCCTGTCTCCTCATCTTTATTTCCCCTACTGCCAAATGTGACCATGGTTGGTGCAGGTGATGGGAGAGGCAGGTGGCCCCCACAGCCAATGCTGCTCATCGCCTTTGTTCTCTGCATGGAGTGGCATGAAGGCTGCAGCCTGAGGAGGTCAGGGGCTATGCAGGGCGGGGGTGTTGGGGAAGGCCAGGCTGCAGCCTGCTGGCCCCATCTCCACTTCAATGGTGACTCCGAAGCTCCCCGACATTAAAATTTTCTCTTTTTTTGGTGGCACCATGTGACAAAGTCAGCCCCTTGTTACAACCACTGCTCTTCTTCAGAACTTAATTAGAGCACTTAATTAGAGCACTTTGCCTTTCTCCCCTCTCTCTAATTAACATGCGGAGGCCCTGCAGCCTAAACACCCCAAATAATTGCGGCCGGGGGCCCTGCAGCCCAGCCTGGCCTCATTACTGGCAGGGTGGGGCTGTGGGCCCAGCCGCCTTCGCAGATGGAAAATTGGTGACAAGAAAGAGCCACAGAAAGAGGCCTGACCCTGGGGCCCTTGCCTATTGAGAGCACAGGCTAGGGGAGAAAGAGGAGGGGGATGCAGCGCCCTGGGGCAGCAGCTGAGTCCTGGGGGAGGGGGAGGGAAGGGAAGAGCTCTTGCACCGACAATGGCCACCGTGCCAATTATCAGCAGCAGCACTCTGGACGGGTAGCCCCATCTGTGCCGGGCCTGACAGTCCTGGGAAGGAGGTGTCGCTATGGCTATCTCACTGATGCACAGACGTAAACTAAAGGACAGGGATGAGCTGGTGGGGGTGAGGAGGAAGAGGAACCTGTTCAGTGAGGGGAGCACAGATCCCAACTTAGGGAAGTAAAGGGAGTCCAAGGAGGGGGCGCGTGAAGTTAGAGAGGGTCTCAGAGCAGGCCACTGCCCTGGATGCAGCCTGAGCCCCAGCACCTGCTAACATTTGGCCTCTGGACCTCAGTTTGTCCACCTGTAACATGGAGGCGCTCCCGTCCAGTGGGATTGGAGACGATGCTAACGCAACTGATGGGAAATGGCAGCTTGCTTTCCTCCTCTGTAAAATGGTCTGACTTTACACCATGAGGATCCTGCGGTGGAAGGCCCCTGCATATTGTCATGGTAACTGGTGCTCCATACAAGGCCAGGAGAGGACTTGGAAGGGGGAGGGGTGGGTGGGCGGTGAGAGGTCTTTGCTCTGGGCTGCACTGGGCTTTGGGGTGGCAGGGAAGGGGATGGACTTGGAGGGCATATCTAAGTCCTGAGCAGAGCCCAAGGAATCTTGGGGGATAAGGCAGAGTTTGCAGATCACCAACTCACCCCTGATGATGGATGCACCATCCAGCCCAGCTCAGCCGTCGCTGTAGTGGAATCCATCAGTGTTTCTGCAGGGAGAGCCAAGAGTCATTGCCCAGCTTTGCCTACTAGGAGCTGTCAATCACCGCCCAGTCCTGCCTACTAGGAACTGTCAATCACTACCCAGTCCCTCCTACTAGGAACTGTCAATCACTGCCCCAGCCCTGAAATGCGCGCCTCTGGATCCCTCATTCCAGCGCTCTGCTTTCTTTCATCACCCCAATTAGAGGACTGTAATCCCAAGATCTGCCCTCCCTCCAGACCCTGTCCTTCCATTCCCTAATCCCTTCCACTCTCATGGCTCAGCCAATTACTTGATTCTATTTTTCCAGGTCCCTCCTATCTAGACCCAACCCCAACGCCTCCCACCCAACCAATTCTTCACCCTTCCATCCACCCCTAACCCGGGTACTAGCCCTTCCCTCCTTTTCCATAGTGTCAGGGTCCTAATCTGGGGTTTTCTCTAGGTTCCAAAGGGTCCACTACCAAATGCTCAAAATGCTACATCACCCCAAATAATTGTGATATAATGGGTTAAGCTACTATCTGCGATGCCACCATCCCATATGGTCACTGGTTGGAGTCCTGGCTGCTCTGCTTCTGATCCAGCTCCCTGCTAATGCATCTGGAAAAGCAGCAGAGAGGGTGGCCCAAGTGTTGAGACCCCCACCAACCATGCTGGAGATCTGAATGGAGTTCTTGTGGCCCAGCCTTGGCTAGTCCTACTGTACCCACTCTGGCAGACAGATTCTTTCTCTCTCTCTTTATCTGTGTGTGTGTGTATAATGCTACTTTTCAAATAAAAATAAATCTTTAAAAATATTTCACATCAAAACTTACTTGTATATCCATTCACCTTTTGGCTTGCATCAAATTCTAAGAAGCTAGGATGTGGGTGCACTTCAGTGCCAGATAAGCTTATCCCACTTCCCATACAACTGCCAGGATCTGAAATCCTCTGGTGTCCCAGCTCTGCCAACTCTGCCCAGGATGGGTCCTGAGGGTGGAGGGTTGTGGGTAGCGGGCACCAGCTGTCACTGGTCAGACAACTCACAGCTCTGTGACCAGCAGCCACATCATCTGTGGCAGAGGAGACCCACAGGGCCAGAGAGAGGCCCCCTCCCCCAGGCTCAGCTCAGAGCTAGAACCCCCATCCGTGTCCCCCTGCTCTGGGAAAGGGACACCACCCCTCTGCTGGGTCATTCCCCAAATGACCACAATAGCCAAGAATGAACCAGGCTGAAGCCAGGAGCCAGAAACTCCATCTGGATCTCCCACATGGGTGGGAGGGACCCAAGCACTTAGGCCATCTTCCACTGCCTTCCCAGGCACATTAGCAGGAACTGGATTGGAAGCAGAGCAGCCGGGACTCAACCTGGAGTCCAATCTGGATTGTGGGAGTCCCAAGTGGCAGCTTCACCTGCTTGCTGGGCCACAATGGAGACCCCCTCAGAACACTGTATTCAACTGCAATGTACTGAGTGGATTCAAATGGAGCCCTTTTAGGCATTTGGCTAGCTGATGTCCATGGCATCCCAGGCACTGAGCTATGTACGCTGGGACAAGTGAAGAGGAGAAGACACCCACCGTGACCATGGAGCAGTGCAACCAGGTACAGATTTGAGCCGTGGGTGGGTAAGCACCAACCCAGCAGGTCAGCAGAACCTGCACATGGCTCAGCTCAGCCTGCAGATGAGAGGCATGCTCGTTTTTCTGCTCCAGTTCTGTGCCCAAGGCAGGCATCATCAATCAATCACCACCCTCGATGGCTACATTGTACTTATCACCACAGTCCCAGGACCCAAATGCCCACCAACTGTGACGCACTCCCTAGTGCAACCCACTTGCTTCTGATTGGAGATAAGGCGACTGGAGCAAAGCGAAGGCAAGGAAGTCTCTAAAGGTCACAGAGGGGCTGATGGCAGTGCAGGTGCCAGCCTCCAACCCCATCCACTTATAGGCATTTAGAACAATTAGTTTGATGGTTTGAGCGAGATTCACTGATGCCAGGAGATTGGGGGCGGGGTGCCAACTTCCAGGCCATTGAGAAGGTTCAAATAGAAGGTAATGAGGGCATGACCATGGCAGGGGCGGTGGGGGGCTTGGGAGTTGGAGGGAGAAGCATCATTTGCCCAGAGATGACCTCAGCCAGACGGGAAAGCCAACAAGAGAGGATGCAGGAGTGTCCCCATGACCGCCTGTGGCTTGTTTGTGGTCCTTGGGTCCCTTTACATTGTGGCCAGCGTAGGGGTGTAGGAGTGGGGGGGGGGTGGCAGGGACAGTGGAGACAGTGCCAAGGGCATCTTTTTGATGGCAAATCGAAGCGAAGTTCTATTATGTTGCTTTGGGGCTGCAAAGAGGGTTCCTTTTCACACTCGGAATGCTACAGATTTTCCTTCCTGGAGAGAACAAGGGTTGAACTTTTAACCTGTTTTCTCTCATCGGCCTCAGCCGGGGACTCGCCAAGCTGGGCTCTCTGCCGGGCCAAAGGAGCAGCTGCCGGGGGCGGTGTGGACCGAAGGAGAGGGGCGACCATGCTTGGGCCAGAGCAGGGCCGCAGCTCTGCCAGGTGGAAGCCAGCTTGCCATGCAGGTGGCCCCACCCATTTGGCTAAAGTCCTGGATAACCCAGAGGACAAGGACTTGGTTCGTGTAGCCCTGGAGGGAGGGGCTGGGAACCAACCTTCTCATTCTCTGGGTGCAAAAACAGACCCAGAAGGGAGCCCAGAAGGCGCTTTGTCATAAGTCATGCAGGAAAGCAGGAGACGCAAACCTGGGGCACCCCAAAAACTTAGGCCTGGGCCTTTCACCCCCTCATCTTCCTTTCAGTGCACTTGACCCAAACTTGCCCTGGCTGGAGGCAGGATGGGCAGCCTGAGTGGAGGAGCCCAGGGGTCTGGAAGCGAGTAGGCTGACAGGCTCACAGCCAGCAAGGCTCAGAGGGCTCACCACGTTGGCAGTTGCCCTTGGAAAGCGGCAGCAGGGCAGTGACTCCTCGGCCCCCTTCACACCTGCCAGGCCTGGGAAGAATTGTCAGCCCTAGGTACTGGGGCAGGAGACGGCACTTGGTTACCTCGCCCCTTCACCTTCCATGGCTCACTCTCGCCTGTGCAACAGGGCGGGCCCAGCTAAATTCCTATTGTGGATATGAGGACCCAATGTGTCGGACAGCACCCAGCCCCGGGAGTCCTCAGGAAGCCAGAGCCATTCTTAAAGGCAGCATGGGCCTTTGAAGGTGGATCCAAGAGGCTCCAGCTCCACCCACTGGCTTTCCCACACCTAGGCTGCACTGGCCAACATCTGATCAACATCAGCTTTCCTTCCTGAAGGCCACAGCCTCCAAGGAGCCCTTCCAAGTTCGACTGATGCTGCTTTCCTGGGATGTCCCAAACTCCTCTTGGTTTCTCTCCAGCCAAATGTAACCATCCAGCTCCAGGGAATCTGGAGTGCAGAGTTCTCACCTCGGGTTCAGGACATCCAAGTCCCTGGAGGTGACACTAACATTCTCCCAACAATGCCAGGAAGGACTTGATACAGTTCCATTTCACAGATGGGAAGGCCAAGGCTGGCAGGCTCAAGAACATACCCAGGGCCACTCACCCTCTTCCCTTGCCAGGCTGTTTTTCAGTTGCTGTTTCTCACCTGGCACTATTCTTTTGGTTTTAAGGTTTTTGAAATAGATCTATTTATAACATTTGTTTATTGGAAAGACACCTTTCGAACCTTCTCTCTCCTCCATCCCTACTTTGTCTGCCCCTCCTGCCCCGCATTGGGGATATCTCAACTCAGGTCACCTCCTCTGGGAAGTCCTCCCAGTTACTGGTGTTCCAAGATGTCCTGGTGCTCGCAGATGGCCTGGGCAGTAACTGTCCTGGTTTGCCATTCTCCAAGGGCCTGTGCTCCCCCGAAGAGCAAGGGCTGGAGCCCCTAGAACCTGACACAGGGCCTGGCTCAGAGTAGCGGGAACACGTGCCAGCCAGTGCCCTGTGCCATCCGGGGTTGCCTGGCTTCGGGCCCTTCCAGTGGACAACACTGGATGACGTCAGCCCTCTCCGCCTTCCACCTGTATTGCTCTTGACTATTTTTCTTCCAATTGACTTTTTTTTTTTCTTAAGTGCATTTTAAAGAGGAAACAAAAGTGATCATTATTATAAATGGGAAACCAATATCACTTTCCATAAAAAGAAGGGAAATAAACACGAGGCTGCTGTAATTAAAAATGTTCGTCGGCAAACCACCGAGCACGCTCTGGGGGCCACAGGGCTCCATCAAGCTGCCTCCGCTGTGACAGTGCCAATCCCTCATTGCCGGGAAGCTGGCGTCCCCGTACACAGATAATTAATCACCACGCGGATGTGACAAGACCACACGGGGATGTGCACGGTGCACTGTCGCTGATGGGTGTGGCGGGGGAGGAAAGGAAGGCCACATTTAGGTATGGCTTCCCAGGAGGGGCGTGCCCTGGCAGAGGGGGCAACTGAGAGAAAGTCAAGGGAGTGAGAGTGGGGAAGTGCTGTTGGGGGGAAGGGTGGATGTAGTGGGAACTGGAAGAATCGGGGCTGGACCCTGCTGCTCACCGTGCCCTTCTGCTCACACCCTCCCCAGCCTCCCCAGTGTCTTCCCACCTACACACACACACACACACACACACACACACAAACACTGCCACCTCCCTCCCCATTCAGCCCTACTACCCAACTGGATCTCAAGCGCTCATCAGAAACCACTCCCGCCCATAAACCCAATGAACAGCTGAGGAAAGTGGGGCCAGACACTGTAGGAACCCAGGCCAAAGCAGGAATGGGGCCACCAGCCCGAGACACACGCCTTGGGGTGCAGCAGCGTTTGGGCCTACACCCCCTCTCCAGCCTGGAGCCGACACACAAGAAAGCAATCAGGAGGCCCCGGCTGTGCGGCTGGGGGAGGCGGCCGGCCCCTCCGGCGACGTGGGAACGAGCAGTGTGCATTTCAGAAATATTTGCGTTCAAAGGGGAGACACACTGAAGTCGTTAGCATCAGGCCGCCA